GTCTTGCACTGAGGAGAGGCTTCCTTCGGGCCACTCTGCCCTAAAGCCCCGACTGGTGGAGGGCTGCAGTGATGGTTGACTTTCTTTGACTTTCTACAACTTTCTCCCATCTCCCGACTGCATCTCTGGAGTTCAGCCACAGTCATCTTTGGGTTCTTCTGTACCTCTCTCACCAAGGCTCTTCTCCCCTGATAGCTCAGTTTGGCCGGACGGCCAGCTCTAGGAAGGGTTCTGGTCGTCCTAAACGTCTTCCATTTAAGGATTATGGAGGCCACTGTGCTCTTAGGAACCTTAAGTGCAGCAGAAATTTTTTTGTAACCTTGGCCAGATCTGTGCCTTGCCACAATTCTGTCTCTGAGCTCTTCAGGCAGTTCCTTTGACCTCATGATTCTCATTTGCTCTGACATGCACTGTGAGCTGTAGGGTCTTATATAGACAGGTGTGTGGCTTTTCCTAATCACGTCCAATCAGTATAATCAAACACAGCTGGACTCAAATGAAGGTGTAGAACCATCTGAGGGATGATCAGAAGAAATGGACAGCACCTAAGTTAAATATACGAGTGTCACAGCAAAGGGTCTGAATACTTATGACCATGTGATATTTCAGTTTTTCTTTTTTAATAAATCTGCAAAAATGTCAAACATTCTGTGTTTTTCTGTCAATATGGGGTGCTGTGTGTACATTAATGAGGAAAAAAATGAACTTAAATGATTTTAGCATATGGCTGCAATATAACAAAGAGTGAAAAATTTAAGGGGGTCTGAATACTTTCCGTACCCACTGTATGTGACACAGACAAACCCTAAACCTCAGCAGCAGTATTTTTATTTTTAGTCACTCAAAAGAAGAAGTCTACAGGGTATACATTCTTCATATTTAGTGTGAGTGTGTGTGAATGGGTGAATCTTAAAGCACTTTGTCCATGTAAGGCAGAAAAGCCCTATACAAGTGCAGTCCATTCACCATCTAAACAAAGCACTTAAAAAAAGATTCTGTTTAAGTGTTTCTACAACAAACGGCACGAACACCCCATCATGCAGTCTGAGTAGTTTCACTTCTCTCTTGCAGATGTTCTGCAGACGGGACACTGTGAAATATTTAACAATGACTCTGTATTGTGTATTAATTAAGAGTAAAAATGTTACTGATGTAAACATGGCCTCATGTTTTATGTTGAAATATAAACAGTAGAAATGAGCTGCTTCGGTTCATCTTTCAGCCACAGACCGGTCGTCTGTACTGGTCTGTACATCCCTAGTTTCTACATCATGAGTCTGTCTGTTAACGTCTGATCTTCTTCTGTTTAGATGGTGATGACAGCAGTGGTGAGGAGGTCAGTAACTCCGTCTGTTACTCTGTCAGTTACAGCCAGATGAGTCAGTATTATTCTAACTGTGTCTGTGTCTATGTTCAGAGTGAGCTGGAGCTGTCAGTGGACTCCTGTATTCAGCTGAATCTGGTCTACCAGCAGGTGGTCCAGGAGACGCTGGACCAGCTGGAGACACTACTGACACAGAACCAGAGGCAGCAGGTCAGTACAGACCCGCAGCCATAGACAACAGGTAAGTATTGATAATAACTTGTTTTCTCTCTGTAGAAGGAACTGGTGTCGCAGCTGTCTGGATCAATCAAAGAGCCTTCCAGAGAGCAGTCCACCCCATCCTCCTACCAGCAGCCAGTCAGCATGTTCCTGGGCCGCTTCCTCAAACCATACTTCAAGGACAAACTGACAGGACTGGTAAGGCAGACAGAGACATGGACATAAACACAGTTGTACTACAGGGCTGGGTGATTACTCAAATGTTATTTTAAGTTGTGATTAAGCTTCCAGCAGTTATAAAAACAAAATAATTGCACTGCGTTTTGCATTGATGCTGTTCTTTTGTCCTGTGTTATAAATCCGGTGCATCCCTTTAGCACTTTACAGTGCAAGCATGTTTTTCTCACATCCGGTGAAGTGAAATGTTACCTGAGCTCGGTACTGTACGTGCAGTAAAAAGTCAATAAGAGTAATCTGTTAAAACACCTGCTGGATAAATTGCAGTGGAGATTCCTGGACAACTCTGCAAGCAACAAATTTTCAACAGTGTTAGCTAAATGCAGGTACAGCTCGCAGGCTGATTAATGTGGTGGAGGACGAAGGTGAGCTTGAAATAATTCCCATAGCATCCAAAGACTACACGTATGAATTACCCTCGAGAGCGTCCACTGTGTTTAAGATATACAGCTTGTATGAAGACGAGAAAGCTAAAGTGGAGGAGACATTGAAACAGACGAATACAGTTGCCTCACCAGAGATTACTGATACCTCAGGGCCCCTTTAAGGTACATTTAGAAATAGTGGTGGAAGTAGTACTTGGATCCTTTACTTCAGTAAATGTAGCAATACAACAGTGTAAAAGTCCTGCATTCAAAATGTTACTTGAGTAAAAGTACTAGCACCTTCACCAGAGAAGAGCTTCTGAACATCACACACCTCACTCCAAACACATTTTTTCACATTTTTGCTAATGCAAAAAAGCAGTGTGGACATTCTGGTCCATCATCCAACTGAACGACTACAGACCTGTCGCCCTGGCGTCTGTAGTCGTGAAGTCCTTTGAGAGACAGGTGTTGGCCCACCTGAAGGACATCGTAAAACCCTTGCTAAATGTACTTAGTTACTTTCACTACTGTTTAGAACAGGTAAAAAAAAAAAAAGTGATCAATTTGCAATTAATTGCGACTTGACTATGGACAATTATGTGATGAAAATATTTAATCGATTAACAGCACAATTTGAATCTTATTAAAGTTCAGGAACCCCTAAAGAAGTTTTTTTTAAAGTCCAAAGTCAGTGAGTAATCGCAATTATGATTTTTGCTATAATTGTGCAGCCCTAGTGTACTGTTGACAGATGACCACTGAAGAGCCGTTTCACTTTGTGTGCAGGGTCCTCCAGCCAATCAGGAGACAAAGGAGAAGAGTAGCATGATGACGGGATGTCTGAACAACAAGAAACTGAAGATGAAACGATGTAAAATCATATCTGTCCATGCATATACATACATGCATCTACTTAGATACACAAAACAATGATTCATGACTTTGACATCTGTTGCTTCATGTAACTCACCTTCAGTGTGATGCCCCCCTATCTGACCCCTTTCTACATCCCTGTCTGACCTCATGTCTGTCCCCCTATCTGACCCCCTTTCTAAATCCCTGTCTGACCCCCTGTCTGCCCTTGCTGTGTCTCCAGGGGAGGGTTGGCAGAAAACTCTGCTGATCCACTCGGTGGCCAGAGACAGTCTGAGGCGACTGATCCAGCCAAAACTCTCTAAGTAACATCAATTTGTTGTTGTTGTTGTTGTTGTTGTAATATCGTATTACTACAGCTACTCAGTCAGTTTATTAGGAACACCTGTATCAGACTAAGTCAATCTAAACCTACAGTCCTGAATTAAATCGTCCTCCATGAAGTGATAATGTTGAATTTGTATTCAAACTTTTTCACACAGGTGTTGATTCACCTGTGTTGTGTAATACCGACTAAATTAATTTGAGCTGGGTATACCTGATAAACTGACTGAGTGTATACCACACAGTAGTGACTGAGAAGCATCCCTGCAGTGTTGTTGTGACCAGCAGTCACCTGGATCCATCAGGGCACCCACTAGAAACCCGCAGAAACAGCTGCAGTTTCTCCATCTACTGATGATGTAACATGTCACTTCACCCTGGTCTGACTTTAACTAAGCAATTTAGGGAAGTGTTATGGGAAAACGAGGTTCTTGCACTGTACGCTTCACTGGCAGCACCAACCTAACAGATTCAGACTTCTGGAACCCTTCCATATACAGTGAGGAACAGAAGTATTTGAACACCCTGCAATTTTGCAAGTTCTCCCACTTAGAAATCATGGAGGGGTCTGAAATTCACATTGTAGGTGCATTCCCACTCTGAGAGACAGAATTAAAAAAAAATTTCAGGAAATC